AACAGCACATAAAAGAAAGTTAATGTATGATGCAAACATTTTTTATAAATTTTTTAACCAAAAATTTTTTACAAAGTAATTTGTGGCTGCGGTTTTCCAACATTTAGGCCCTTCCTGCTGAAATTACACAGAGAGATGCATAACAGGATGGCCTATCGCTGGAACTAGAAGATATCCATTGTGGCAAATTTTGAAATTTTTAGAATTTTTCAAAGTCAGACCAAAAAATTCGAACTTAGAAATTTTCTAAAAAATGTATCCCTCATTAGAATCCTATGATTTTAGTTCCGACGATAGCCATTAACGCAAGGAAGGTTTATACCAAATTTTAAATACTTTACTTATGGTTTCGGAAAATTGTTTACAAAAAAATTCAAAATGTAATAAAATATTAACAAAATATTTATTTGCAAATATGTTGCTATACATATACCCTACAATTTATATACTGTATTATAGCAGAAGAAGCATTACTACTGCTGTACAATTTTGACATATGTATGTCGAATAGTTTTTTTTGTGTGAATATTTTTGTTTTCCTCCCTTAGTCTGGGTGATACTGCCCCCTTAAGCTAGAGATGACTGCTTTTTTTTACTCAATTTCGAAATTACAAGAATTAGCAAAATCTAGCTGTCTATTTTTTTTTTTGCCTCAGATAATTTACAGCGTCAGTTTGCCTTGCTATGTTCGCTTTAGTATTACAGTTTTCATCGTCGGCTTGTGAGGACTGATACAGATTTTACAATAGTTTTACTTCTTTCTGCCGTACTTTCTTTCATTTAGTATGGTTTACTTATAATTTTCTCTCTCTTCAGGGTGCTGGGCTAATCAGGTATGGGCTTATAAGTGGGGTTGAAAGTGATTTGGGAGTAAAGAAAAATTATATTATCAGCAGTCTGGATAATATATTGAGTACTATAGTAGTCCTCCCACTGTAGTTTTAAAAAAAATATTTAAAATTTTTTTAAAATAATTTACTTCTTAGCTTTAAACAGTTTAAGCGCCTTGATCATAAATTGTATATATAATAATTAAATGAAAAAAGTAAAATGGCAAAAGAACTAGACTAAAATATGGTCTGTAACTCATGTTTCTTTTGACTGCTTAGTTTACTGTGCTCCATCTTCTGCTGTGAAGCCAAAGGTTGACATTGTGGCCAGAAAAAAAACGACCGTGGGAAAAGGGTTGCTTTAATACTTATACTGATTTATCATTCCTAAATTCTTCTTGATCCAAAATCGTCACCTTGTGATCGGTTGTTTCTTTAAAAAAAATGTAAATACAAGATGATAATTATTTGCTTCCAGTGGCGTAGGCGGGGAGGGGGGGGGGTTAGGGGGGTCATAACCCCCCCCCCCCCCATAGACCCCTCGGTATATATATAAAGTATGAGGGGGGGGGTGCAAATCGAAAGTTTGAGTGGGGGGAGGGGTGCAAATCTAAAGCTTGTCCCCGGGTAAAAATTGGAACCCCCCTCCTTGAGACGATCCTGGCTACGCCACTGTTTGCTTCTGATGGGTTTAGCAGTTTTGTATTTCTCTGAAATACATTGAAGCATATGATACTACGTACTTGTCCATTTCCACTGTCAAGTACCTGAGGTTTTTATTTTCACGATTGATTTTTTGAGAATTGTCCGAATTCAGTGTTAATAAGATTTACCTGCAAACAACTCTTTTAAGAGGATGGTGTATGTCTGCGTGTTTAAATAGATTATATTGTTGGTAGCTAATAAATATATAAGATTGCGAAGCTGTTTTTAGTTAGGTGAGAGTTCCCAGTCTGTCTTAGCTTTGCTTGAAATATTTCTTTTAACTCGATGTCGGAGTATTTTTAAAAATAAAACCTGATTTTATTCCTTTATTTACATATAGTCGATCTATAAATAGCCGTTGCTACTAGTCTGTTTTCGACTTCTGTTCTTTGTCTAGTCGTGTTAATTATGTGTGATTGCTTTATTTATTGTGGCTGTTTGATTGGTGATATTTCATATTTTCGCCTGTACCATTTGTTTTCTGTTTTGACATACCATCTAATTAAATGTTTCTCAGTTTCTTGTATATTTTGTTTACATATTTAACGTGTTGTTATTTTATCAGTTTGATTATGAACCTGGTTATGTAATGTTTTTTTTTCTTGTTTAAAATATGTATTGATGGTTGTTATAGCATAAATATGTTATGTGTGTCAGTTTCTTTGATGTGCTCTTTTCTTTTCGTAGGAGCTTTAATATAATATAGAGGGGGGGGGGGGGAGGAGTATTAAAAATTAAAAATAAAATTGTTTCAATTTTATTAAATTATTGCATTTTTTTTCTTTTTCCTTGGTTATAAATAACACCAGTTTTGTATTCGAGAATGTAAATTTGAAAAATAAATGGTTGTAAATAATATAGATTCCAGCCTAAAATTGTTATACATGAATCCTTTAGGACAGGGTGAAAAATATCCGAGAACTTAAAAACGATTATATATGTTTGTTCACATAGTCGACCAATTGATCACATTTCGTGGAAGCTTCTTCAAAAATATTTGTAATGTATTTATATTAACAGTTTTGAATTACTGAAACACTAAAATTTAAATTTCTATTTATATTAAAATAAATATTTGAAAATAGAATTTAAAAGGAAATTTTTTAATTTATTTAATCAAAAAAACAATTCAAGGAATATTTTTACAAGCGCAGGGTTTCATTTTATACTACTTATTTAATAATTTCAATTTGAGTTGTCTATCCTGGTAACAAAAATTGATGTAAAAATAACTGCTTGTTTTGTTATTGAGAAAAAACTAAAGGACTTTGTCGATAAAATGTGTAAGAGATTTCTTGAGCAATAGATGATTTTATTTTAAAATATGAGGCTGTATTATTTTATTTTCAGCGCATTTTGAAGTTATTTATACATTTATACGTATTTCCCAAATTATTCGGCCCCGCACTAATTTAAAAAATAAAATAAATATTATATCAACTTTTAAAAACAAAATGGAGTAGAATCACAAAGAAGACAGGAAAATTCGTATAATTTTTTAGGAATGGGAAATAATAAGCACTACTTTCAAAATTGGACAGAAACCCGTGAATGTATTATACTTCATCATTTTCCCTGAAACTGTACTCATGTTAGAGTTAGTTTAGAAACCAGAAATGGAGTAAAGTACCACTTTAGCATTAGCACTATGGCTTAGAATGGATCAAGCTACTCGTAAAGTTTAACGATGAAGACAATCTTGTAAAACTATGCCACTCTAGCGAGCACATGACATTTCTTAAGGACTAGGACGCTCGTATAGCTAACAAGGACACTCAAATTAGCGATAGGACACAGTCAAACTAAGACTAGGAAACACTCTAATTAGGACTACGGCACACGCTAATTAGGACTAGGGCACACCTCAATTAGGACTAGGACACTTGTATAGCAAACATGGACACACACAGTAGGACACAATCAAACTAAGACTGAGCACTCTAATTAGGACTAGGACACAACCCAATTAGGACTAGGATACACTCTAATTAGGACTAGGGCACACCCCAATTAGGACTAGGATACACTTTAATTAGGACTAGGACAAACCCCAATTAAGACTAGGAAACACTCTAATTAGGACTAGGGCACAAGCTAATTAGGACTAGGGCACACCCCAATTAGGACCAGGATACACCCCAATTAGGACTAGGAAACACTCTAATTAGGACTAGGGCACACGCTAATTAGGACTAGGGATCACCCCAATTAGGACTAGGGCACACCTCAATTAGGACTAGGAAACACTCTAATTAGGACTAGGGCACACGCTAATTAGGACTAGGGCACACCCCAATTAGGACTAGGACACTTGTATAGCAAACATGGACACACACAGTAGGACACAATCAAACTAAGACTGAGCACTCTAATTAGGACTAGGACACGCCCCAATTAAGACTAAGAAACACTCTAATTAGGAATAGGGCACACGCTAATTATGACTAGGGCACATCCCAATTAGGACTAGGGCTCACCCCAATTAGAACTAGGACACTTGTATAGCAAACATGGACACACAAAAAGACACACTTAAATGAGGACAAGGACACGCTCAAATGAAGACTACAACAAACAAAGACGCTTAAATTAGATCTAGAGCACTCGTGTAAGACAAATTGATTGATTTTGTCGCGAGATCTGCAGACAGTATGATATCTGGCATATCATGCCGGGTGAATTTCGTCATCATGCCAAGCAAAGACGTCCTATATATTTTAGACCGTCGTCCAACATCTCTCCTATTCTGTCAGCCTCACCCAACATAGTTCCTATATATTTTAGACCAGTGGTTCCCAAACTTTTTCAAGTGGCGACCCTCTTTTATAAAAAAAAGCAACGTGAAAATGTAAATGTATAATTAAATGATGATTCAAGGTGATTTTTTTTTACATCGGCGTGGTGGGCTGAAGGGGCTAGTGCTGAAATAAATTTGGGATTACAGAGAATTAAAATGATACACATTTTAAGCAACCGGAAAAGTTATGTTATTACAATGAGAGACATCCAATCAAACATTCTTCACTTTCAAACATCTATATCTATAAGCAGTTCTCCCACATTTAAAAAAATCGTTTTAAACATTTAAAATAGTAATAATAATTTATTTGATGGTTTTATACCTTTTTCAAATAAATAAACATCAATTGTATATATATATATATATATATATATATATATATATATATATATATATATATATATATATATATAGTAATTAAATGGAGAAAATAAAATGGCATACGACGAACTAGACTAATGTAGGATGAGCAAACTCGGTTTTATTTGACTGCTTAGTTTACTGTGCTACATCTCAGGTGCAAAGTCACATGATCACCTTGTAGCCACCCATCGACAGAAAGTTAAACGACCGTGGGGAAAAATGTCTCTATTATTTATTTTTTTTACAAATCAAATTTTATTCAGTCAACCCTCCAATAAAATCCTCCAGATATTTGGGGTCCATCAAGCAGCTTCCATAGACATCTCCTCCTCCTCATCTGAATCAACTTCTTCATTTTTTGTAACCAGAGCATTGTCTTCTACTCTAAGGGCAATCTCTTCAGGGGAGGGTGGGGCCACTAGTGACATGGATGTTATGAAAGGACCTAAAGCAATACTTTTATGTTTGCTGACCTCTTCAATGTAAACTTGAAAGTTTTCAACCTAGTGCTCAACAGGCTGCTCTATCAAACAGAAAAGAACTTGTAACTATCTTAATGATTCTGTCACTTTCTGAGATTCCACTGTGTAGCCTTAGAAAAACTTGTCCCACATTGCTTGTAGGTCACTTCCCAAAGTACCTGTGGGTGGACAAGAGGAGATGTGGAGGGTTCTTATGTTTACAATCATCACTCTCACATGACACAAACAAAAAGTTACCTTTCTGTGGAAATGTATCTCTCAAGTAATTGCGTAGAGGTAAAATTTCAGTCCCACAATCTGTTGTGCACAGCACATGCTTAAAGACTGTGGCCTTCAACACTCCAGAGGTGATAATTTTAAGAACTTCTTCCGGAGTTCCAACTAGTTTAGTACCCAGTGATGTGGCAAGTTTCATCTTCTCTGGCGCCTTACACAAGACAAGAATAGCTGGTGGTAAACCAAATGGGAATTCATATGGAAGTCTGACAGTTGTTCCAACTGTTCCCATAAATTTTATCTTTTGTTTTGGTAGTTAGGTCTAGCCTCATGGTATGGGGGCCTACCTTTTTTTTTGGTAGTTAGGTCTAGCCTCATGGTATAGGGGCCTACCTTTTTTTTTTGGTAGTTAGGTCTAGCCTCATGGTATGGGGGCCTACCTTTTTTTTTGGTAGTTAGGTCTAGCCTCATGGTATGGGGGGCCTACCTTTTTTTTTTTTGGTAGTTAGGTCTAGCCTCATGGTATGGGGGGCCTACCTTTTTTTTTTGGTAGTTAGGTCTAGCCTCATGGTATGGGGGGCCTACCTTTTTTTTTGGTAGTTAGGTCTAGCCTCATGGTATGGGGGGCCTACCTTTTTTTTTGGTAGTTAGGTCTAGCCTCATGGTATGGGGGGCCTACCTTTTTTTTGGTAGTTAGGTCTAGCCTCATGGTATAGGGGGCCTACATTTTTTTTTGGTAGGTCTAGCCTCATGGTATAGGGGGCCTACCTTTTTTTTTGGTAGTTAGGTCTAGCCTCATGGTATAGGGGGTCTACCATTTTTTTTGGTAGTTAGGTCCAGCCTCATGGTATAGGGGGCCTACCTTTTTTTTGGTAATTAGGTCTAGCCTCATGCTCAGGTAAAATAATCTCCTCATGTTATCCAGCATAGCTGGCTGGGCAGATGCCTTGTGCCGCAGTAGAACCTCTTGAATAGAGAAGTGCTGGACTGGATAAAACTTGTGGACCCCAACATTATCCAGCGGTTTAGCTGCTAAGATGGTACTTTTCTCTTGTTCACTGACATTGACTGTGGCCCTCTTCCTATCTTTCTTAGAGATATAACTATTTTTTTTATCCACATCAACTTTAGCATCTTTAACCCTTTGTTTCTTGTTGCGGTGGCGGACTTGGAATACAGGACTGAGGGTTGGAGGTATCTGTTGCCTCACTTTTGATCCGAATGTAGAAAGTAAAACTTTTGATAGTGTCAGTGACTTTGTTAGGGAGGCTGCCAAGGAAAAGTGTCTCTATGACCAATAGAATTAGAGAACATTCAAAATGGGCAATAAACAACATTAATGGGAAAAGAGTGTTTTTTATATAGCAAACGTGTTATGTTTATTAGGGTTTCGAATCATTGATGTTATTGGTTTGATGATACACTATAATATTAAATTAACATTTATTAGTTAAAATTTGTAAAATAATTTGTTTTTAAATCATGAAATTTTGTTGTTTACAATTTAAAGTAGTGTATAGCGTTTGAGACATGATTTTTCTTTTAAAAGTTCATTATTTTGAATTCTAGTTTTGAGTTTTCTCCCTTGAAAAAAACCCGATGGAAAAACCGAAGTTGAATTTCTTATAATGGATCAGGACCATCGTTACAACTAGAGCAATCGTGTAGGACTTAGCTACTATTACATAACTAGGACATTCCGGAGGACTAGGACACTCAAATAACAAACATGGACGCTAAAATTAGGACAAGAACACACTCAAAGTAGAACCAGGACACACTCAAATGAGGACTACAACAAACAAAGACGCTAAAGTTAGATCTAGAGCACTCGAGTAAGACAAATTGATTTTGTCGCGAGATCTGCAGAAAGTATGATATCTGGCATATCATGACGGATGAATTTCGTCATCATGCCCAACATAGACGCTAAAGTTAGATCTAGAGCACTCGTGTAAGACAGTACGATACCTGGCATCAGTGGCGTAGCGAGGTCGGGTGTTACCCGGGGCGGCACTTAATGGTGTAGCGACTCTTCCCAGCGCCCGGGGACAAACTGTCAATTTTTGATTCGCACCCCCCCCCCTCCACCCTTGTCGGGATATGTCAAATTTGCTCTTAAAAGACTTTTTAACACTCGAATTAATCACTTAATTAAGTGGAATTATCATTTTCTTTTATATATTTTGCTATTTTTTGCCCTGGTGTCATTCCCTTAATGGTTTCACCCGGTGCGATCCGCCCCCCCCCCCCCGTCTCTACGCCACTGCCTGATATATCATGACGGATGAATTTCGTCATCATGCCCAGCAAAGACGTCCTATATATTTTAGACCGTCGTCCAACATCTCTCCTATTCTGTCAGCCTCACCCAACATAGACGTCCTATATATTTTAGACCGTCCAACATCTCTCCTATTCTGTCAGCCTCACCCAACATAGACGTCCTATATATTTTAGACCGTCCACCATCTCTCCTATTCTGTCAGCCTCACCCAACATAGACGTCCTATATATTTTAGACCGTCGTCCACCATCTCTCCTATTCTGTCAGCCTCACCCAACATAGACGTCCTATATATTTTAGACCGTCGTCCAACATCTCTCCTATTCTGTCAGCCTCACCCAACATAGACGTCCTATATATTTTAGACCGTCGTCCAACATCTCTCCTATTCTGTCAGCCTCACCCAACATAGACGTCCTATATATTTTAGACCGTCGTCCAACATCTCTCCTATTCTGTCAGCCTCACCCAACATAGACGTCCTATATATTTTAGACCGTCCAACATCTCTCCTATTCTGTCAGCCTCACCCAACATAGACGTCCTATATATTTTAGACCGTCCAACATCTCTCCTATTCTGTCAGCCTCACCCAACATAGACGTCCTATATATTTTAGACCGTCCAACATCTCTCCTATTCTGTCAGCCTCACCCAACATAGACGTCCTATATATTTTAGACCGTCGTCCAACATCTCTCCTATTATGTCAGCCTCACCCAACATAGACGTCCTATATATTTTAGACCGTCCAACATCTCTCCTATTCTGTCAGCCTCACCCAACATAGACGTCCTATATATTTTAGACCGTCGTCCAACATCTCTCCTATTCTGTCAGCCTCACCAAACATAGACGTCCTATATATTTTAGACCGTCGTCCAACATCTCTCCTATTCTGTCAGCCTCACCCAACATAGACGTCCTATATATTTTAGACCGTCGTCCAACATCTCTCCTATTCTGTCAGCCTCACCCAACATAGACGTCCTATATATTTTAGACCGTCCAACATCTCTCCTATTATGTCAGCCTCACCCAACATAGACGTCCTATATATTTTAGACCGTCGTCCAACATCTCTCCTATTCTGTCAGCCTCACCCAACATAGACGTCCTATATATTTTAGACCGTCCAACATCTCTCCTATTCTGTCAGCCTCACCCAACATAGACGTCCTATATATTTTAGACCGTCGTCCAACATCTCTCCTATTCTGTCAGCCTCACCCAACATAGACGTCCTATATATTTTAGACCGTCCAACATCTCTCCTATTCTGTCAGCCTCACCCAACATAGACGTCCTATATATTTTAGACCGTCGTCCAACATCTCTCCTATTCTGTCAGCCTCACCCAACATAGACGTCCTATATATTTTAGACCGTCGTCCAATATCTCTCCTATTCTGTCAGCCTCACCCAACATAGACGTCCTATATATTTTAAACCGTCCAACATCTCTCCTATTCTGTCAGCCTCACCCAACATAGACGTCCTATATATTTTAGACCGTCCAACATCTCTCCTATTCTGTCAGCCTCACCCAACATAGACGTCCTATATATTTTAGACCGTCGTCCAACATCTCTCCTATTCTGTCAGCCTCACCCAACATAGACGTCCTATATATTTTAGACCGTCCAACATCTCTCCTATTCTGTCAGCCTCACCCAACATAGACGTCGTATATATTTTAGACCGTCCAACATCTCTCCTATTCTGTCAGCCTCACCCAACATAGACGTCGTATATATTTTAGACCGTCCAACATCTCTCCTATTCTGTCAGCCTCACCCAACATAGACGTCCTATATATTTTAGACCGTCGTCCAACATCTCTCCTATTCTGTCAGCCTCACCCAACATAGACGTCCTATATATTTTAGACCGTCGTCCAACATCTCTCCTATTCTGTCAGCCTCACCCAACATAGACGTCCTATATATTTTAGACCGTCGTCCAACATCTCTCCTATTCTGTCAGCCTCACCCAACATAGACGTCCTATATATTTTAGACCGTCGTCCAACATTCTCCTATTCTGTCAGCCTCACCCAACATAGACGTCCTATATATTTTAGACAGTGATTCCCAAACTTTTTCGAGTGGCGACCCTCTTTTATGAAAAAAAAAAAAAAAAAACCCAACCTGAAAATGCAAATGTATAATTAAATGATGATTTAAGGTGATTTTTTTTCCATCGGCGTGGTGGGCTGAGGGGGGGGGGTAGAGCTGAAATAAATTTGGGATTACAAAGAATTAAAATGATACAAATTTTAAGCAACCGGAAAAGTTATTTTATTACAATGAGACACATCCAATCAAAAACATTCTTCCCTTTCAAACATCTATATCTATGCAGTCCGTACACATTTAAAAAAAATCGTTTTTGACATGTAAAATAGTAATAATAATGTATTTGATGGTTTTAACCCTCTTCAAAGAAATGAACATCAATTTTATATATATATATATATATATATATATATATATATATATATATATATATATATATATATAATAAAATGGAGAAAATAAAATGGCATACGAACTAGACTAATGTAAGATGTGCAAACTTTGTTTTATTTGACTGCTTAGTTTACTGTGCTACATCTCAGGTACAAAGTCACATGATCACCTTGTAGCCACCCATCGACAGAAAGATAAACGACCGTGGGGAAAAGGGTCTCTATGACCAATAGAATTAGAGAAACTCTACAAATGTGAAGAGAACAACATAAATGGGAAAAGAGTGTTTTTTAAATAGCAAACGTGTTATGTTTATTAGGGTTGCGAATCATTGATGTTATTGGTTTGATGATACACCATAATATTAAAATAACATTTAATAGTTAAAATTTGTAAATAATTTGTTTATAAATCATGAAATTTTGTTGTTTACAATTAAAAGTAGTGCATAGCTTTTGAGACATGATTTTTTTTTAAAGTTCATTATTTTGAATTCTAGAATTGAGTTTTTTCCCTTGAAAAAAAAAAACCCGATGGAAAAACCGAAGTTGAATTTCTTATAATGGATATGGACCCTCTTTACAACTAGAGCAATCGTGTAGGACTTAGCTACTATTGCATGACTCGGACATTCCGGAGGACTAGGACACTCAAATAACAAATAAACATGGACGCTCAAATTAGGACTAGGACACACTCAAATTAGGACTAGGACACACTCAAATGAGGACTCCAACAAACATAGACGCTAACGTTAGATCTAGAGCACTCGTGTAAGACAGTACGCAATATTATTAGTTCTTTAAAAATTTACATTAGTTTTTTGAGAAATCGGAAGTAGCGTAAATTAGTACTTCCGGTCAACGGAAATTACTCAAAATTTAACAGAAGATAGAGAATTAGATCTTATACTTACATGTGAAATTTTGTTTATCTATCTGAAATAGTACTCAAGTTATAGGCCTTTGAAAATTTTAAAGTAGGAAAAGTACCACTTTCGGTTATCGGAAATTGCTCAAAAGTTGATACGGATCTACGATTTTGATAAAATACTTATATATGAAATTTCATCAACCTAGCTGTAACGGTACTCAAGTTATCGTGTTTACACACACACACACAGACACACAGACAGACACACAGACATACGGACAAGATTGCAAAATTATGTTTTTCCGTATCAGTGAGATGTAAAACGTCGAGATCTGTAAAAATCTCGATTTTTTTTTTTTGCACGATTACAAGACTTTCTCTATACTTCGTATATACTAGAAAGTAAAAAAGTAGCTTAACATTTTCTATAAAATAATATGTTCTGGTACATAGCAGAAAAATAATTATTGAATGGAGGATGAGGGCGACGCTGACGATAGTGATAATATTAATCGCCGCCCCCCTCCACCCCCCCCCACACACCCACACAATTGATGAAACAGGATAGTAAAAATGTTTAGGTCCTATATTAATAAGTAGTATTGTCCCCTGATTATTTAAGAGCTAACCTATAATTTATGTCCTATGTGGAATGGATGAAACGCAAAGTTGAATTTTAAAATCTTACATTACAGATGTATATAACCCAGAAAATATTTCATTGCTCCAAATAATTGAGTTACTTCCCCTGTATTGTAAGTAAACACAGCTAACAGATCCATATAATATTATTACGAGCAAGTAACCTGGTTGGTGACCTTTTACTTTTTACTTAATTTAAGCGAGAGATGACTGCTTTTTTTTTTTGCTCAATTTCGAAATTACAAGAATTAGCAAAATCTAGCTGTCTATTTTTTTTTGCCTCAGATAATTTACAGCGTCAGTTTGCCTTGCTGTGTTCGCTTTAGTATTACAGTTTTCATTATCTGCTTGTGAGGACTGATACAGATTTTACAATAGTTCTACTTCTTTCTGCCGAACTTTCTTTCATTTAGTATGGTTTACTTATAATTTTCTCTCTCTTCAGGGTGCTGGGCTAATCAGGTATGGGCTTATAAGTGGGGTTGAAAGTGATTTGGGAGTAAAGAAAAATTATATTATCAGCAGTCTGGATAATATATTGAGTACTATAGTAGTCCTCCCACAGTAGTTTAAAAAAAAATATTTAAAAAAAAATAGTAATAATTTATTTCTTAGCCTTAAACAGTTTAAGCGCCTTGATCATAAATTGTATATATAGTAATTAAATGAAAAAAGTAAAATGTCTAAAGAACTAGACTAAAATATGGTCTGCAACTCATGTTTCTTTTGACTGCTTAGTTTACTGTGCTCCATCTTCAGCTGTGGAGCCAAAAGTTGACATTGTGGCCAGAAAAAAAACGACCGTGGGAAAAGGGTTGCTTTAATACTTATACTGATTTATCATTCCTAAATTCTTCTTGATCCAAAACTGCCTCCTTGCGATATATTGTTTCTTTTAAAAAAATGCCAATACAAGCTGATAGGTGTTTGCTTCTAATGGCTTTAGCACTTTTGTATTTCTCTGAAAGACATTGAAGCATATGATACTTCGTACTTGTCCATTACCACTGTCAAGTACCTGAGGTTTTTATTTTCACGATTCATTTCACGAATTCAGTGTTAATCAGATTTACCTGCAAACGACTCTTTTAAGAGGATGTTGTATGTCTGTGTGTTTAAATGGATCATTTTACTTTTGGTAGCTAATAAATATATGTGATTGTGAAGCTGTTTTTAGTTAGGTGAGAGTTCCCAGTCTGTCTTAGCTTTGCTTGAAATATTTCTTTTAACTCGATGTCAGAGTATTTTTAAAAAATAAAACCTGATTTTATTCCTACATTTCCATATAGTCGATCTATAAATAGCCGTTGCTACTAGTCTGTTTTCGACTTCTGTTCTTTGTCTAGTCGTGTTAATTATGTGTGATTGCTTTATTCATTGTGGCTGTTTGATTGGCGATATTTCATATTTTCGCCTGTACCATTAGTTTTCTGTATTGACATACCATCTAATTAAATGTTTCTCAGTTTCTTGTATATTTTGTTTACATATTTAACGTGTTGTTATTTTTTCATTTTGATTGTAAACCTGGTGATGTATTGTTTTTTTTTCTTGTTTAAAATATGTATTGATGGTTGTTATAGCATAAATATGTTATGTGTGTCAAGTTTCTTTGATGTGCTCTTTTCTTTTCGTAAGAGCTTTAATATAATATAGAGGGGGGGGGAGTATTAAAAATTAAAAATAAAATTGTTTCAATTTTATTATATTATTGAATTTTTTTTCTTTTTCCTTGGTTTTAAAGAACACCAGTTTTGTATTCGAGAACGTAAAAACGATTAGTTTTTCATAATACAGATAAATTGATAAAATGTTGTGGAAGCTTCTTCAAAAGTATTTTTAAATGTATTTATATTAGCTCTTTTGAATTACTGATACACTAAAATTTAAATTTCTATTTATGTTAAAATAAATATTTGAGGTTAGAATTTCAAAGCTAATATTTTTAATTTATTTAAACTTAAAAAAAAAAATCAAGAAATATTTTTACAAGCGCAGAGTTTCATTTTAAACTAGTTATTTAGTAATTTCAATTTGAGTTGTCTATCCTGGTAACAAAAATTGATGTGAAAATAACTGCTTGTTTTGTTAATGAGAAAAAACTAAAGGATTTAGTCAATAAAATGTGTAAGAGATTTCATGAGCAATAGATGATTTTATTTGAAAATATAAGGCTGTATTATTTTATTTTCAGCGCATTTTGAAGTTATTTATACATTTATACGTATTTCCCAAATTATTCGGCCCCGTACTAATTTAAAAAATAAATAAATATATCAAATTTTAAAAACAAAATCGAGTAGAATCACAAAGAAGACAGGAAAATGACTAGGACACTCTAATTAGGACTAGAACACACCCCAATTAGGACAAGGACACTTGTATAGCAAACATAGACACACACAATAGGACACAGTCAAACTAGGACTAGGAAACACACTCTAATTAGGACTAGGACACTTGTATAGCAAACATGGACACACACAATATGGACATTTTTAGGACAGGGACACACGTACAGGACAAGGATAATCATTGAGGACACTTGTAGGACCAGGACACGTGCTCTGACACACCTGTAAATTGTGCACTTAGAAACACGTTCATCAAGTGAAAGTGTCGACACACCTGTAAATTGTGCACTTAGAAACACGTCCATCAAGTGAAAGTGTCGACACACCTGTCAATTGTGCACTCAGTGAAAATGTCGACACACCTGTAAATGGACACCAGCGAGAAAAGTCTCAAAGGTATTTGAGAGGTGTATAAATTCATTTAAAAATCATGCACAGCGTAGTTACAATTAATATGGTTATAAAATCCTGTCTATCTGGTTTTTTTCGGACTTTACTAAAGATTGGATGTATTTGATGTTTATAATATTTTCGGTAACTAAATAAAAATTTAAAAAAAAGCAAAAACAATTTGGTTTTCACGTGTAATGGCGACATAAACAAATGGCATCCTGCTATTGGATAGGCCGCCATTGATTTTATTGTACACATTGTAAGCTAAAAATAGAAAACTAGGTCATGAGGTTTTAAATTTGCATTGTAATTTAAAAACTTGATCTGCAAAGTTTTGTAAACAAATAGTTATCGATCACTAAGTTACTGTACAGCCAATCAATATTTGTCTTACGAAAGTGAAACATCCGGTTATAACTTAGGCTTGATGAAAATAAATAGAAATGTAGCCTTAAACTCAACAAATTATTTTCAAGTTCTCTGGATTTGCAACTTTTATAACATTTATTCTAAAAATATAAAATTTCTAAATTAATTTTAGGCTTAAGTTTTTATTTTTTATTTTTTTTTACGGTCTAAATCTAAAAAGCACGTTTTTATTCCATGTCAACAACATTGGGGACGGAATCTCGTCAACTCGCTCGCCTCCATTGGGCACTCAGTGAAAGTGTCGAGACTGATCAAACTTTGACAAAAAATAAACACCAACAATTTCTATAGACACGTTTTATTTATACATCAATACACTTGGTTTAACATTGTCAAATATTCAAAGTTGTCCTATAAAACATGAGACCATTACATCAACACGTCATGATGGATACATGTCGTGATGGATACATGAACACGTCATGATGGATACATGAACACGTCATGATGGATACATGAACACGTCATGATGGATACATGAACACGTCATGATGGATACATGTCATGATGGATACATGAACACGTCATGATGGATACATGAACACGTCATGATGGATAGAAGAACACGTCATGATGGATAGATGAACAAGTCATTATGGATACATGTCATGATGGATAAATGAGCATGTCATGATGGATACATAAACACGTCATGATGGATACATGAACACGTCATGATGGATACATAAACACGTCATAATGGATACATGAACACGTCATGATGGATACATGAACACGTCATGATGGATACAAGTCATGATGGATACAAGTCATGAAGGATACAACCACAAACCATTAACGTGATGTCAATGCTAGACGCCCTTTATGGTGTGTGCCCCCTCATCTGTTGTACCATTATATGGTCGTTGTTCAGCTGATACTACATCATGTACATTCAACAGTTGTAACCACATCAGACTGACGCAGTCATCACGTCCATTTTAACACATTCATCCAACAAACTCAACGATTCTGTAGGTTTGGATATATAGAACCGTCACAACAGTTTGGAGAGGTGATACTTTTTTCTGTTTGAGTCGTGTTATCCCCAAATTAGCTGATTCATTTGTGAAGGTATAATTATCTATTTTAAATTTTTTCGAATAACACAAATACCAGCAGTCGTGGCTCAGCATGTTTGAGAAATAATTCTATATTGATGCCCTCAAATATTTCAACATTTTACTGTAAACTTGACCCTTTACACCGAGCCAATGGTTAACAATCAAGTGGAACAAGTATAAAAATTTGATGTGAACCTAGATTTATGTAAAATGAAAATGTGTAATCTTGTGAAAATGTGTAATCTTGTGAAAATGTGTAATCTTGTGAAAATGTGTAATCTTGTGAAAATGTATAATCTTGCATTTAACCTATTATTTTAATTAAATAACACTTAATCAAATATTTTAATAATTACTTTCGTTATACTCTAACCATATGCTTGTATGTATTTAACATACAAACTACCTACACTAAAGAATCATCCACTTATTTTTATATCCAAATATCCATCTCTCCTAAACTGTATTACTCCTGGGTAATCAGCGTTCTTAAATCTGTGTGAGCGACCAAGATGAGTAGGTTGTATGACTGGTGTAGGTTTAACTATAACTTGTAGGTTTATGTACGTCATAGGCCAGTTGAGATCTTGTTGAAGACATACATCTATATTTGAATGTAAAGGGATACAACTTAGTTTGTTTTTATATTAATTAATACTATAGGTACAATTTTATTTGAACTGTGAGATTCTCTGTTTAGTGATAATCTCTTTGGTCAAAAGGCAAATAACTTGGCTTTGTTTATAATTTCGTTTCTGACGAAGTTTGGTGGAAATAGATGGTCGTTTAGAGATATGCGAGGAGAAGTGACGTCAATGATATGTGTCACGTGATCGTCTGTCACGTGTTCGTCTGGAATTCCTATAGCAGCCTGTGTGATGAACGGGCTGGAAGAAGCGTCAAACTCGATTCTTGCTGAGGTTCACTCGCTGAAGACAATCACAGGTTGTCGAACCTGCGACCGTTCACATGATGAGTGGTTGGTAGAAGGGTTGTACACAGTGCGCGTCAACCCGGCTCCTTTCTATGGTGCTCCTTCAGCAAAACAACATCCGACCCGTCGTAGAAGACCCCGGTTTGTGAGTCACACACACTGTCGGGTCGGACCCGAGAAAGTTCGCTTCGATGACCTCCCCTGAATAACCCGTTTTCCTCCCCTAGACACGCCTGTTTGTGCGCGCCCTCACACTTCCGTCGTTTCCCGCCTAGAAATATCGTTCTACTTCCGTTTCCGGCGTGATGTCCCACGTGACCACAATCTAGGTCAAGGACGTGGTCACAGGTGCAAATGTCTGAGACCTCCGTCTCCGACACGCACTTGACGTGTCCGTTCTTCCAGTGTTTTCTGGGCGCCGGTCTGCCTGCCCGGGCGCCCATCTGGTGCCGGGTCAGCGACTTGGTGGAGCAGCAGTGGGGCGCCATGTTGGATACGTCATGGACGTTGCAGTCCCCGAGGCGCCACCTCATGGCGGCCGTCCGGTACTTGAGCCTCTTGTGGCCCCAGTGATGGCAGAAGCAGGACTGGACCATGCTAGCCAAGTCAGCCTGACAGAGAGAAACACGATCTTAATGAAGGAATCATAACATAAGGATAAACAGATATCAGATGTTAGATTGTAAGATATAGGCTACATTAGAGTGTGTATATATATATATATATATATATATATATATATATATATATATATATATATATATATATATATATATATATGTGTTTTTTTCTATTATGGGTATGTACGGATGTGAAAATAATTTCAAAAGTTCTTAACTCTAATTCTAGTTTCATAAAAGTCAGGGTTTCTTTCAGACATTATTTTATCATGGGGATAGTGTGTGTGGGGGAGGGGAGGGATGATGGCTTAAAAAAGTTGGCAGGGGTGGGAGTGGCAAACAGATTTTGAAGTAAATATTTAAAAAAAAATTCTATTTTTTCCGGGTTAGAGGAACGTGGTATGGTAAACGTACTTTCAGAGGGAGAAAGAAAGGAGGGCAATGTGCAGTGATCTGGGAAGTCCAGAATGAATGATTTGTACAACCCATCGGGGTGGGGGGGGGGGAGCTAGAAATGAATGATTTATGCAACTCATCAAGGAAGTGCAACTGACCCGGAAGTTCTCGTTCATGAAGCCGTAGATGACGGGGTTCACGAAGCTGTTTGCCATGGACAGCCAATGGACGCCGAAGTAGATCTCCTCTCCAGCCTTGCCAAAGAAGTCGCTCTTGAAGGTGAATATGATAATAAACACGTGCAGGGGCAGCCAGCAGACGCCAAACAGGAAGACAATGGTAGCCAGCATCTTCACCACCTGGGGAGTGACGTCATCAACAGGTGGGTCAGATTATGACGTCAATTTACAATCATAACATTAGTCATCAACTAAACAGGGGGTTATCTATTGTTATGTTCAACCGTATGTATCAAGATTAGATCAGATACACTAATACTATCTGTAACAGTAAGTATCAAAATAACGAATTAACTAATATATATACATATATATATACATACATATATACATACATATATACATATATATATATATATATATATATATATATATATATATATATATATATATATATATATATATATCAGATTTACTAATAACCATCGTCAAGAGAACGGACTAACTAAACATTAGGGATACATTTTTTAAACTACAAAGTAAAAATATTAATGTTTTCATTAATTATGAAAGTTTATCACGCTGTTGATACGCCGAAAATAAAGCAAATTTCAAATGAACGAAAGGATTTGAAATGCGTGTAGCCCAGCGCTAAGGGATGTAATTCATTTGTTTACTTTTGGGATATCAAGAGCCTACACACTAGACTATTGTATGTCAAATATATTCTGTACTAACCAGCCATCCCGCTCCGACTAATCTAGTTTGATCCAAAAAAAAATCCCACCCCGACTAGAATAACCACTACAAATGGTGGGCACCGGGCACCAATCGATACAGCGGTAGTAATTCGTTAGCCGCCATAAACAAGTTCACTGAGCCCTGCCGACAATGCAATTATCTCTCAAAGTGGGTCAGGGTGGTTATGATATTCTTCGCACGCCACTACACAACTGGAACAAAATATTGAAGTACGATCCTCACATTCAAACAACGTATATTATCCATGAAATGTACACTTATAATGTTAAATCAATAGTTTACCAACCCTTTATGGCCCTACTTAAGTAAGCTAATGTTAAAAAGACAGTTTATACCAAGCCAATATAACTAACTCAGGTTTGAGGTGAAAATAGATCTAAATTCTAAGTGTGAGCACTGGCTAGGTCTAGAGTAAAAAGATACACAACTCGCTCACAGGCTAAGCCAAAATTTGAGTAAAGGTCAAGGGTTGTGGGTGAAGGCCATATCTTGCGGATGAAGGTCACATTTTTTAGTAAATCTTAAGATTTGTGAATGGCGGTCAAGGCAACTAGTCTTTGCAAAGGGCTTATAATTTTACTAAAGTTTTAGGCAAAACAGAAACTGATGCATTCTATTTCAACTGCCTTATCAAGCGTAATATAACCCTTTCATTTGGAATTGTTCAATGTTTCCATACCATGGCATTTAGTCTGGGCTTCTGAAACTACTGCAATATGTTGCCTAGTTCGTTTTGTTCTAAAAAACCTATCCCACCGTCATAGGGTTAACCTGACTTGTGACAGTCTGGTACTAATGGGGTTAAAGTTCTCACCAGCTGGACCCCGCATTAACCACTGGTGCCATTAGTCAGTTCATACGTTTTCCCTAACCGGAAGTGGGTGCGAACCAATCAAAAACGTGGACTACATTTAACCCACTTTCACCGATGACGTCACGGAGCAGGGTAGGAAACAAATGAGTCGTGTCTAGCAGGTCAATAAAAGTAATTTGACCAGTCACAAGTAGGCGCTGACCAGTGGTCTGGGGGGGGGGCAGACCAAAATAGGGACGGTCAGATACCGGAAGTGATGTCACAGATATGTTTTTGTGGGGGGGGGGGGTATTTCGTCACGTGATTGTTGCAGGCGTGCGTGTAACTACTTTTAATAACCCGACCTGTAGACACACGTGTACACATTGAAAGTTTAGAGATTTTGTTTGGGGAAATGGATCATCTCAAATCGCGTCAAACAACATGCGATGTCAATAGGAAAGTGTCCTATGCAACTGTGTGTGGTAAAAGGATGGGCAATAGAACATGATTAAGGATTAATACATCATTTCTGATGCAAACAATATAAAACAGTTGTCGAAATCCCTGGACGGACAGATGGAGAGATTACGAGTTAGAGAGATGGATAGAGAGATGGAGAGGTGAACATATGAAGATATGGACAGATGGAGAGTATCACTGATGGAGAGATGGAGATATGAAGAGATGGAGAGATGGAGAGATGGATGGAGAGATGAAAAGATGGAGCGATGGACAGATAGATGTAGTGAGAGATATGGAGAGACAGATGGCACAATCAAACGATGACCCACACACACAGAGGGAAAGCTTCACTGGGAAGATCCGATTTCTAAAAATAGCAGCTCGGTCAGTTAATTTTGCTATCCGAATAAAAGCTAAGCCTCTTCGGCAACCGGCGCAAGAAAACAATGTCAAAGAAAACCCTCGGTGCTGTAATGGCGCTTCGTGAGGATGAGCTGGGTGGAGTGGGGGGAGGGGGGGGGGGGCGCTAACGAAAATAAGCTTCAGAAAAATCTGATGCTTCCACTCAGGAAAAAAGTGTTTCGTCTCTAAGGGAGGCTACTCGAGAAAACGAACTACAAAGCAAGCGGGTGTACGTAATTTTTCCAATTATCTCCCTTAGCACGACAAAGAGTTGTCCCCGCGTTGAGCGCTCACGATGGGAGACAATCATGCAAGGAAAAAAAGTTGTCTACCGTGGCTGCTTCAGGGAATTGAAATTTGAATATTGAAGCGTTAATCGCCTCACGAAGCTGCAGAGATTCCGTGCGCATGCGTGAAGACGATAACATTAGCCATCGCAGAGAGTGACTGCAGCCTCCTAAGGCTATATTTAGAACATGAAGTTGGGGGAGGCGATTAATTCCGCGTGATTGGGAAGTTTCATTTAAAGTTGGTGACGAAATGTCAGCTTTCACGGTACAGTACCCTGCGCCCCCCCCCCCCCCCACCCTCCCTCTATCCCGGGGGTAATTGAGAGGGTGTGTTTAAGTTGTTTTTTTCTGCTAGTGAGCGGCCTCTCAAATTATACAGTCATGTTCGCTTGAAGTCAGCGCCGCTGGTCAGTATGTAAGTCATGTTCGTCTGAAATCAGTGCCATTTAGCTGGTCAGTATGTAACCCTGGGGAACAGTAACTAGCTTAGTTAATTAGACAAATAGCTACTTAATTCAGTTAAAATTTTGTAAGTCTGGTTTTTATTTACAAGGTTAATTTTTTCTCAGAGGCATCAAGTGCTGTTGTGTAAGGATCTCAGTTCACGAATAGTATATAATTCAGCCTGACAGTTTGGCTCATCCAATGCCCCACACTCCACCCTCCCCGACATGTGTAAGACACCCACGATGGGTACAACATCAACAGATTTGAACCTACGTCCTATGGCTGTGTATCCCGAGATGCGACGACTCGACCATCAGAGGTTTTACACCGAGCAGAAGAGTACGGAGCAGCAGGAAACTGATTTACCTTTAAGCACTCGTCTACCGGTGTCACCATGGTAACCACAGCATCTACAGTTCTAGTCCTATCGTACCATGGCATCACCCACATCTACAGTTCTAGCCCTATTGAACTATAGCATCACCCACAACATCTACAGTTCTAGTCCTATCGAACTATGTCATCAACTACAACATCTACAGTTCTAGTCCTATCGAACTATGGCATCAACTACAACATCTACAGTTCTAGTCCTATCGAACTTTGGCATCAACTACAACATCTACAGTTCTAGTCCTATCGAACTATGGCATCAACTACAACATCTACAGTTCTAGTCCTATCGAACTATGGCATCAACTACAACATCTACAGTTCTAGCCCTATAAGACTAGACGTTCTAGAAACTGAGAACTCTTGAATTCTATCTTAGCTGATACCAGTCACGTGACGAGCTCAATGGGAAAAACACAACAGGGAGATAACCAGCTCCATTAGTTATCTACCCCTCACCTCAACCCCTCACTTCAACCCCTCAACCCCTCACCTCAACCCCTCAACCCCTCACCTCAACCCCTCACCTCAACCCCTCTCCTCAACCCCTCACCTCAACCCCTCAACCCCTCATCCGCTCCCTTCACCCCCTTCCCCACACCCCCTCCCCCAAGACAAAATTGATAACCTCCACCAAAAAAAGGCGGGGTATTATTCCTTGTTGCCAAATGTGATAAAAACTGTGGGATATTTTCTTCATTAGGCGGCCCAACAGTTATTTTTTACTGAATCAACTTTTTCAGATGGTATACCTAAACATGACTTTTGGCTAACATGACCTCAGTCAACATGACCTTTTGCTAACATTACATCACTCAGCATGACCTTTTGACTACCATTGGTATACCTCACCAAACATGACTTTTGCCTAACTTTTGTATATTTCTATATAACTCTGTCAAAAATGTGTTTAATGGATATTAGGAGCATTTTAGCATCGCGGAGAAATGCGTTATACTTTTGATTAGTGGTACTTAACTTAAACCTCAAAACACAACACACATTTATATGGCAACCACCTATTTTTCTACAAACTTGAGCATCACAACACAACACACATACTTATGACAAGCCCTTACACTGACATCTACTAACTTGACCATCACACCACACCACAACACAATACAATACAATACAACACAACACACCACAACACACCTACAAATGAAAACCCTTACATTTCTACTAACTTGACCATCACAACACAACACAACACGATAAAACACAACACGACACAACACAACACATCACAACACAACACAACACAACACAACACAACACAACACAACACACCTACATATGACAACCCTTACATTTCCACTAACAGAATCACTCGTTTATCGTTCCTGCCAGGAAGCAGAACCGCTCTGACATGCGCAAATGTGTAAAAATATAAATAGAAATATTCCCTGTAGCAGGGAGATAACCACACAACAAGGGGAGTTAATTCATCTCCATCTGCATGGGGCTAATAGAAAAATTGCAAGAATGTTGAAAATTGTCTACCCTGTTCCGGGGGAAATAGAACACGGCCAATGTTCAGCCACGATTCGCTCCCTTGGGTTCGAGCAATTTCTTTCATTTTTCGCATTTATTACTCCACCTCTCGGGTAATTTTTCCTTATTCCGTCCTAATTAGTAATTTCGCTTTTGACATTTGCGGTTTAAAAACTGTAACAAATGGCATGGGTAGTTAAAAATCAAGCTTCGCTATAACATTTTTGTAAAAATGGAAATAAACGACACAAAATGAAAATAACTAAATGTGCAGCTAAAACTGAGCAAATAATTAAGTCCGTTAAATTAATTGATGCACAACTGTATAATTGTTGAGCGAAAATAAATGAATTAATTGATTAATAGCCAAATTTGATGTCCGATATTTAAAAATCATGATTTGTTTCGTGATGTTAAAATGTGGACTCATTTTAAAATTAGAAATTTTAATGTCGTGCAATTACTAAAATAATTTTTCTAAAAATAAAATGTACAAATCTAATTAACCACGCCTTGTATTACTGATTGAAATTTTTTTAAATGTAATTAGGTGAGTCTGTACTGTGCGCGTTTTACCTTTCTCCTAACTTATCGAAATGTAAATTTTTTATGTTTGTGGCTAAGAGAGTATAGCTTTCTAGCCCTACTACATCCCCTTAAGAATAAAACTGTAGGCCTTTTTCAATAACTTCATAGCCAAATTTTAGAGCTATACCTTAGCAGATGAACATTAATTTTATACCGACACCAATAGAAAAAAAAACCCCAGTTATATCGTCCTCAGGTATTTCACGAGTTAGACCTACACCATTGAGCGATATCATATTATTTAGACAGAGATCGCAGAATATATAAACACACCCACCCCTCCACACAGCCCCACACACAAACTCCCGATACTCCCCATTATCCACTCATTATGGCACGATATCCCACAACGTAGACATCAATTAGTAGCTGCCGCATATATTTAGCTCAGAGCTTTGTGTGTAGACGTGTATTTAGCTTCAGTAAAAACCATTTAGCTCAGAGACATGTATATCAGCAGCAATTTACTACCGCATGTTTTAGCTCAGAGCTGTATATGTTGACGTGTAGGCCTATTGAGCTCAGGAAAAGTATTTAGTTCAGAGCTTTGTATGTAAACAAATTACTGAGCAAGCTTTAGCTCAGAGTTGTGCATGAATACAACATTTTACCCCCTTTAGCTCAGAGCTTCACTGCGTGAAAGAAAAGGTAAATCCATCACTTGTTGTCATGTGTGAGTGGAGCTAAACAACAGCCCTGGTTCAATGAAGTGTCGTTGACTGCTGTGGTGGTTTTTTCACGTCATTTATCACTAATTACCAATTACTGGAATGACGTAATTGGCCAACTGTCAGGAGAATTAAACAACCAACAGGTAATGTTTGAATAATGTTCGCAGTTTTTCCACCGTCGCAATGTTTGATGGGGTGGAAAGAGAACAACGTTCCTTAATTAGATCACATTATCATCAAACTAATTGAACGTCTTTAGTGAAAACCAATTACGATAGAGTTTAATTACAGCACTTTTGTCTCAGACACCGAAATCTCCCTACTTCTCGTCACTTCTCGCTACATCTCGCGCAAGACGGGATCTCAACAAGTCCCTATTGTCGTCTATATCCCCGGGCTGACCTCTGAGGGTCATTAACACACCCCCTCCCTCCATCCCCCACCCCACTAGACAGCTACTTCCATCAAATAGCCGGACCCGGCCTCTGTCCCTCATTGCGAAACGGCTCATTGACCGGTCGATAAAAAGTAAAATAAAATTGAAACCAAATCCAATGCTCGCTCAACCCCCCCCCCCCTCCCCTCACTGTTTAAAACGTATTTTCTAGAGCAGAACAAAAATTAAATTTTTAACCTTTTAAAAGCCAAATGATTTATCAAAAGGTCAATTTTTGTTCAGTTAATTAAAACTAAAAGAGATTTTACCAGGTTTTTAAAATTGGCTTTAAATGAAAGACAAATGTGTCTTTTGACCCCGGAAAAAAAAACGCACGCGCGTGTAACAAGCCACAAATTACCATCGGCCTTGACCTTAACTCCGTGGTATTTTTAGTTTGTGTTTATTTGAATGAGCTCACGCGGAGATGGGCAAATAAATTATGGTACAGTGGTCTAACAGGGGCGGGTTTAGCCTCTAATAGAATGTTGATCGATTGGCGAATATGTGCAGGTATTGGTCTGATTAATGTGGTAACTGTCTCTACCGAGCTAGGAGTTATTGGTTATCTAGAGGTAAAGTCTAATGAAGTGTTTAGTGAAACATTGAGCTATTGGTTATCTAGAGGTATAGTAAATTAAAGTGTTTAACAAAACATTGAGCAATTGGCTATAGAAGTACAGTCGATTAAAGTATTTAAACTTTAAGCTATTGGTTATCTAGAGGTAAAGTCGATTAAAGCGTTTAGTAAAACACTGAGCTATTGGTTATCTAGAGGTAAAGTCGATTAAAGCGTTTACTAAAAGATTGAGCTATTGGTTATCTAGAGGTAAAGTCGAATAAAGTGTTTAGCAAAACATTGAGCTATTGGTTATCTAGAGGTAAAGTCGAATAAAGTGTTTAGCAAAACATTGAGCTATTGGTTATCTAGAGGTATAGTCGATTTTAAAGCGTTTAGCAAAGCTTGGAGCTATTGATTATCTAGAGGTACAGTCAGTAGCGTACGCAGGGGGGGGGGGGGGGGGAGCAGGGGGAGCGGCCGCTCCCCCTCCGGCCATTTTCAGCAAAGTGGCGCCTTTTTGGAAACTTTTTAAACTCAACGTTTTAAACAATGATATTTGTTAAAAAAATATTTTTGGTCGTGCCGACCAAAAACATTTATTAATATTATTATTTTTAAATTTACTTATGAGCAAACTGCGTAGAGGTGGGGAAATTTTGACAAGGTCAACAACGTCATCACGATGAAGTAGTAGTATTCTTACAGTTTGGGCGATAGTGATTACGATTACAAATTATATGAAACATTTACAACCCCCTCCCCCATGGACCCCTCTGTAAAAAAAATATTGTCATAATATTGAAATACCACTGCTACTTATTTAAATCTATTTCTGTAATATATATTCATGTAATATATATTTGTGTAACATATATGTATATTTAGAACAGTCATCTAAAAGCTGACGCTATGTTAACTCTGAGTTGGTTATCTCCCCCCCCCCCCCCCCCCCCACCACACACACACCTCACCACCACAATTGTGTAGAGCGACATTAATGTCACACCTCGGTATTCACTGGGTTGGATAATTGACCTAAAGTGACCGTACAGCAGAGGCGTAGCTATGGGAGGGCGGGGGGGGGGGGCGGCCGCCCCGGGCGCCGACCCAAATGGGGCGCCAAAATGGGTAGGACCAGCATGCATAACTTTATATAGCCTGTATATAAATGGAAGGGGGAGAGGACGAAAAATTGATAGTTCGCCCCAGGCGCTGGAATGTGTCGCTACGCCTCTGCCGTACAGTGGTG